TACAATGCCTTGCTCCACTATTGGCCAACTCCTAATATAAATATATACCTTGCATGTCAACTAGACCCAAGATGCAAGAGACTACGTTTTTTATCAATTGATGAACAAAATAAAGCTAAAGAAATTTTATATATGACATATGCAGAATTTAAGGAACGATACTACTCATCTAAGCAAGTTTCTTCATTGGGGTCAGATTTAATTCCCATGATTAATAAAAGTGAAAAACCAGTTTACCATAAAGGATTTATCAAATCCGTTTTTTCATCAAACTTTCAAAATCAAGATAATGAAATTGCAAGTTATCTGGCTCTTCCTGAACTTGACTTTGAAGCAGATCCTGCAGTGTGGTGGTCTTTACAAAAACAGCAATTTCCAGTTTTACGTGAAATGGCACAAAAATTTCTTGCAATTCCTGCAACAAGCACACCAAGTGAACGCTTGTTTTCAGATGCAGGAAATGTTATGAGCGCGAAAAGAACATTATTAAAGCCAAAGTTATTTGGTAGAATGGTTTTTCTAAAGCGTAACATGAAAACAATCAGTTTTACTATTCCAGATATTTGAGATTAATGTATATGCAAATGCAATAATTGTAAATCTGCAAATTAGTATGTAACTTATGTAAATTGCATGTGAAATATATATATTGTATATATGTATAATTTAATGTATATATAGTATATATTATACAATTAATAAATTTATAATGCAAAAAAAAAAAAGCTGTCGATAAATTAAATGCTTAACTAAATTTTTTATAATGATTTTAATATTTTTTAAAAAAACTCAATGAACATTCGAATTTTCAGCCAATCGATGCTCGAAATTCTAGAGTTTATATCCTATCGATGCCCGAAACTCGTCGGTTCCAATCTCTACATGTACCAACACTGCCTTAACCACATATTGTGGTTAGGGAACATCCATAATTTACGTTAAACCAGTACAGTATTGTATAAAAATAGAGACTTTGAAGATAATTTCATATAGTATTATTTTTGTATTATCTTTAAGATTCCTATAATAATGCCGGTTTAACGTAAATTATGGACGTCCCCTTATCAAAATAATGAATAGGTTCTGTAACAAATTTTTTAGTAGTTCATGATAGAAAAAAACTAATTTTAATGCAGACCAACTCACCTAAACCATATATTATGGTTAACAGAATAGCAAGTTCTGTAATAGAATAATTCATAATAACTCATATAGAAACCACGACAATCTAATGTAAACTAACCCAAACTTAAGCATACATTATTGTCACTAAATAGTATGTAAGTTCTATAATTGATTTTTTTATAGTACTTCAATGGAAATATAATAATCTGATGCAAACTATCTTATTTTAACCACATTTTGCAGTAACAAAAAAATTCCTAGCAAAATTTTGGCAACCCTTACACTAGTGTTCCTATGAACCAAACCGAACCGAACTTTAGACTAAGTTCAGGTTCAGTTTATATTTCGAACCAAGCCTGAACTGGACTTATTTTAAAAACTTAGTTCAGTTCAGGTTCAATATTGAATTTTTAGAACTAGTCCAAGTTCGGTTCAGATTTGGTTCAAAAGTTCATGAACAAGTTTGGGTTTAGTTAATTAAAATAGAAATAATTTATTAATCAAAATATCTAATATAAACTATTTAAATTAAGCTGTTTTAAAATTAAACAAAAAAAATATCGTATTTCAAAATAAGTAAGAGGTTAAAAATCCCATTAGTATATCAAAATTTTGAAATCAGAAATGAAATAGAGGTGTTTAGAGATGAAATAAGAAATTTTTTTATTATGCAGATCAACGAACTATTTAATAATAACAATACAGAGTAAATAATAAAACTTTCGCTTAAATTATTTACTGAACCTTTGCTTAAACTACTTATTAAACTTTTGCTTAAATTATTTTTTTTAAATAACTTACTGAAATTACTAAACCTTCGCTCAAATTACTTAATCTTCATTCAAATTACTTACTGAATCACCTCTTAATGAAAATAAATGCTTCTGATACAACCAAAAAGAGATTGTACCTGGGTAAATAATTTTATAATATGGCTATTATAAATTAGCCATACCTGGATAGAGATTTTCTTAATGGGTACAGTCTTTACAACCAAGAAAGTTTTTATAAGTTTTTGTTCAGTACTTTATTCTCAAAAGATACCAACTCTGTATTCTGGGTCACAATTTTTACTTTTGTTTAAAAAATAATTGACACATGCATTCGAAATGTTTCAAGTTTATTTTATTGATATTGATACAATACTGCAAATAAATAAACTGCTATTTAATTTGTTCAATAGAAAGTTAGGGAAAAATTAGTAAACCTGATAATACAAAGTATTATAAAAATTATTGAACCTAAACATTGTTCATGAACTTTGGACAGAACTCAGACTCGAACCAATATTTAAGTTCAAGTTCAGTTCAGGTTCGTAAATTTTAAGTTCAGTTCAGGTTCAAGTTCGGAAATCTGCAAAATTTAAAGTTCAAGTTTAGGTTCATCGATGAACTCGAACCTGATCGAACCGAACCAAAATGTAGGAATACAGTACTACCTCACACCAACTCCAAACCGCAACCTTATTCTAGTTATCATAATAGTAAGTAATTACTGTTAAGCAATTCAAATAGAAATTATAATATTCCAATATACACTAACTCATCTAACCAGATATTAAAGTCAATAGAACAGCATTTAAGTTTTGCTACAGTAATTCAATAGAAATCTTGATAATTTCAATGCAAACTAATTCATCTTAACCACATATAGCAGTATTAGAGTATCAGAATTAACAGTAACTTACAATAATGATCATGGCATTTCAATGCAAATTTAATTGCATACGTATTATGGCCATCAGAATACACGTCACTCTGGTTATATCGATATTTTTGAGACATTAGTAAAAAAAATTCAAAATGTCGATATAATGAGTTATACTGACATTCTATATTAAAATTTTTGAAAAAAATGTTGATATAGAAAGATTTTACTATGATGTCGTTATATCTGGATGTCGGTATAACCAGAGTGACGTGTAGTAAGAATTTTGTTTGCAGTAGCTTGCAATAGAATTATGAAAATTTTAATGCAAGTTAACTAATCTTATTCGGAATAGTAAATAAATCCTTAATAGAATTTTTTTAGTAGCTTATAAACAAATCATATTAATTTTCACCTTAAACATTTATTGTGGTTATCGGAATAACGAGTATTATTTACAAGAAATTACAACAATCCCAACGCGAAATAACTAATAGTATAGCAAGTTTTATAATAGAATTTTTTAAGTAGCTAATGATAGAAATTGCGACTATTCAAATGTAGACTAATATTTTAATCACATAACATAATTACTAGAATGCTGAGTAAGTTTTGTAATAAATTTTTAAGTAGCTAATGAAAAATTTGTTTAAATTTTATTTTGCGAATAAGGTTTAAAAATTTTTATTGACATTGGTTTACTCGACCTATTATGAATAGTGATGCAAAAATTATAAATTTTTTAAATAAAAATATATGCGACTTATGTCATCACTATAAAGCTAATTCAGTTACCAGTAAAATTTATGCAATTTACTTTTGATTATTGTATTGTCTGAGTTTATAAGTTTGTAAAGATAATTGCATAACAATCGACCGATTTATTATTTTTATTTATGTAAGAATTTATCATAGTTATTTAGTGGATAATTTTATTGAACTTTGTCATTCCTTACTAGAGTTTGAGCCGATATTATTTTCATATATAACTTAGCTTAGTCAGGTTTAACATATGAAGAATAAACCAATTCCAAACTCTGATTCTACTAAAACTACTAAATAATTGATTCATAAAGTGTTTATAAAAATGTAAAAAAATTGTAAATATATTTATTAAAAATGATTTGTCTCAAGATAAAGAATAAATAATTTATAATATTGAAACAGTTAGCAAATCAATTTCTCTCTATCCTTTTCTTCCTCTTCGGCACAAAAATACCATTTCTGCTATTATAACTACGAAAAAAAAGACAATAGTAACACCAATAATCACATTAACAATTTGCCGAGGAGGATTTATAAGTTCTGTATCGGTTATTATAGCCGCAATCAACACTATAGAGCAAGCAATAGTCACATAAATAATCAATTTATTTGTTAGCGGTAAGCGCCTAGTTACTATAAATACTACTATAGATGCAACAAACACTACATAGCAAGCAATGGTTAGACAAATAATTAATGTAACTGGTGGTTGTGGACAACTCGATTCGCCAGGTCTAAAAATGGTTACCCAGTTTTGGCACGGCATTTCCAATAAATAAATATACGGATTTGTATTAATCGAACCGGTTTCATCATTAGTAATGTTACCTTTATTTTTCAAGATAAAGATAAAAATTTAATATTATTTATAATAACAGATAATTAATAATAACAAATAAGATAATAAATACCAAAAGCAACGATCATATAATTTTGATATAAATTTACAGTATGGTATGCTAATGGAGGTGGTGGTATTCCAGAATAACTTAGTTCAGAATATTCATAAGGTTCTGTTGAAATATCCAGCGACAAAAAAGTCGGATATGCAGTAGTAAGACTTAATGCATAGCCTATAAATAAATAATTAATTAATATTGCTTTGTGAATAATATAGTATATTAAAAAAATTTTGTCAATAATTACTTGAAGTTCCGCCTATTATGATGATTTTATTATTATCTGGTGTTAAGGTCGCTGTATGGCCTGTTCGAGCTTGAATAGGATTTGATGACTTTGCTATCTATAAATATGATATAATGTTTATATACTAAAAAATATAATGGTAATCACTATGAAAAAAAAACAGATACTGACCTTGTATGACCAGGTCAAAGAATTTGTATCAAATACCGAGATCTATATAAGGTTGAGAAAAGAAGACATTAAATGGTGAAAGCTAAAAACGTGATTTATCATATTTTGAATAACTGTCTCTTGGAAATTTTAATAAAAAATAACTTACATTTGTCATATCAATTGGCAATGCATCTTCTCCAGGAGAAATTTGATAAACACCTCCAATATAAAGAATTTTACCATTTGGAAGTAATGTCGCAGTGCTATGACTTTGAGGAGAAGGAGCATTGGCTGCATTAATCTTATTCCATTTTGACACGGCGGTGTCATAAGTGTATAAATCGTTAAAGCAAATAAACGTAAGTGAACCAGTATCTAACTCGGCTCTTCCTCCAAATATGTATATTATCCTTCTATCCTGATCTATTATTGTTGAAGTTGATCTACGTCTAATCGTTGGTCCCCCTTTAGCAACTGATTCAAAACTCAACCAAGATTTCGTAGATGGCCGGTAAATAAAAATAGTTTGATTTGTTACATTCCAAGTATTAATTAATTCATTTACCATTAATGTTTGATTTGAAGTTATCGTTGCATTATGATCAATTTGATTAAGGAGTGTGAGGTTTTGAAATGCGCCTTCGACGAGATATACATCTTCCTGACTAGGACCACCAACCACTGCAGTTCCTAATGAAAAATAATAAAGTATGTATGAATCAATTTTTAAACTTTACCAAGCATATAAATTTAATGCCTAACCTTTAGCACTTCCATATATCATTTTTGAAGTACCAGGAAGTTCAACATATGGTGGGTTGACTGTAGAAAATTGTGACATAAGATCTAATGTAAAAACTTCGTCTGATAAATTATATCCTCTTATTGAACTCTTTCTTGGGTCTCCATCTGAAATTTCACGAGATCCTCCCATAAAATAAATCTGGTTTTTAACTATTACTGTTACATGACCAGCTCTACCATCCGGAGTAAAACTATTTATCCCGAAAATCATACATGTAAAAATGAGTATGAATAAAATGGTTTTATTTGAAGATTTAGGTCTTAAACTCCAAAGAGCAAACATGCTTTACGAACGTCAGTAAAGATTTGGCAAGAAATCTATGCATCATTGGTTTATTTATAAGTTAATGATAAAAGGCTTAAGAATGTTACATTAGCTAAATTTTATCGTCATTATAATCTTAAATATGCTTAAAAATAAAGTATTTTAGTAATGCTATCGCACCATATAGTTATTGCCAAAAAAATTAACATAATGGAAATTTAATTTGTTGAAATAATAACTGATACGTATGCAGTAATGCAACCATGCTTGCATGATGGAGTTTCAGTGTTACAGTAAAATTTGGTAACAAATAATTTGTTGCAATAATTAACATATTTTATTACTTCATTATTGTGACTAATAATGATATCTAAATCAAAATAGCGTGGAGTGTTGTAAATATTAAATATACTAAGGTGTTCCTTATTAATAAAATTGAAGGTCAAACACATGGTTAACAGAATAATACACATAACTTCAGCTATCATTAAACCGAATCCATTAATAAAACACTTAACCCACATAACTTATGCAATATCCGAAGCTAAACCGCGCATGCTCATTATTACATTCCCAATTCTGGGCATTGAATCAGGAGCGTAGTCATACTTGCATAACGGAGTTACTATGAACATAATCATGCTTGCATAATAATAAGGGAATGCGTATACCAGGAACGTATTATGCTTTCGTAATAAAGTGTATCGGTATGGATTGAAAATACGTATAATCTTACATCTGATTGGATAGTTAATAATCATTGTGATCACATATTGAGAAGATTGCACATGAACTCGCATATCCGTACATACGTACGTAGGTACGTACGTATGAATGCTGCCAAAAGATTTACGTACGTACGTATTATGAATTTATTAATCGTCGGACTTGGTCCTTAAAAATTATAATAAATAAGTCAGAAAATTATAATTTTAAAGGACTAAGGTTTAGTATATATATATATATATTCTGATCGCAAATATATCATATGAGCGATTTTGTAAATAGGGCCTTTTTACTTGTCCTTGAAAATAAATAAACAATAGCTGTAATGTCCCTTCAAATCTTAATAATATGAATGGTCAAATGAACAGTACATTCTAGATGCACCCTCAAAATAAAAAAAAAAAATTATTTATGAAATTGAGTCTAACTGGTTACCCACCCTTTAACTAGTTACTGGGAAACAAAAAAAAATTATCAAAAATTGAAAAATTGTCAGCAATCGACCAATAAATAAAGTATTTCGATATTTTTCTATCAATTATTTCACCCGACTAGTTGGTCAACACACTTTAATTTTTGGGGTTGCTCAAAAATCTGCTCATATGTTGTGCGTTGATTTTTTATAGCAGTTGAGAATAGAAATATTACGACTAAACTTAGGCATCATCTTTCACAACTTTGATTTAACATGATCATTTCGATCATTTTTTATGATTAAAATGATGGCTAAAAATGGTTTTATTTACTGTATCATAATCTGGATTTAGAAAATGAGAGAGCCAAACTCAAGCAATAAAAAATAGTCGATCTGACATTCAGAATTGGAACTTTACTAGTTTAAAATTAATTTACTGATGAGCCTATATGCATATGGACAGGTTTTGTATCAATCTTGAGAGGTTATCAAATTTGAAAAATTATAATTATTATTTAATATTCTATATAAAATAAATACATCATAAAATAGCAAATGTTTATTAGTTAGTTCAAATTCTTGTGTTTCTGGATCACATGCAAAGTCTCTTGAAATGACTAAATTTATTTGTAAGTACAGTTGACCCTCATTAATATTAACCACGTTAATGTCAACCTAAATTATAAAATGAATCTCTATAAATTAAAATTATATTAAAATTCCCACATATATATCAACTTTAAGTATAACTTTAAATATGTTCTCTCAACATGAATATAAAAGCGATCTAAGTGGTTGGTATTAACGAAGGTTAACTGTACATTCTGATTATCGTTATAGATAATCAGGAATTTCAAGCAAATCTGATAATCTGTCTGTTATCTCTCGTGTGTTGATGAGTTTCCTGGCGTATTTGTGATTCGGATGTTTTGGTGATTCAATATTAAGTTTAATTTTATCGGCTTCTAAGAATTGTTTTTTGATTTCATTATCATTATCTAGATTCATCTCGTCGAGCCAAAGACCAATTTTATGAGAAATAACAGTTGCTGTGGGCCGTTTATTCTGATTATGGTCCATGCATCTCTTAGCCAATTCAATGTAACAATCAGATGTTTCATTACTAAATTCTGGTCGACTTCCCAGGCAAATTTTTAATGAAAGATCAATATTAAAAGATTCTCCATCAAATGCACTTCTTCCAGTTGATATCTCAGACATGATGACTCCAAAGCCGTAGATGTCAGCCGCTTGCGTGAACGCTTACCTATTAGAGCTTCGGGTGCTACATATGGCATAACACCAATAATTTCTTCTTTTTGTTTCATATTAGATGAAATTGTAAGTCCTAGATCTGTAATATATGCATTATTTAAATGATCTTGCAAGATATTTCCGGAATGTAAATCTCGATGAATCAATTCTTGAGAATGGATTGATTCAAGGTCTGAAGCGATACAATACAATAGATTCAATTTATCTTTCCATTTCATTTGTGCTACCGAATAAAGATTTTGACGTAATGAGCCTTTTTTCGCATATTTCAAAGCGATAATGTAATCTTTAGATTTATCATCTCTTGATATTCCATAGCATTTTAAGAATGATGGATTTTCGTATCCTATCTCGCAATATGTTTTCAACTATAATTAAATAAAATTTTTAAATAAAAAAGAAATCATAAATTAACAAATTCTTGATTACATTAATATTACCTCATTGATAAATTCTCGAATATATTTATTTGAGTCATGTATCAATTTAAGCGCAATTGGTGTCCAAATCTCCCTATTATTATCTCCCCAATACGCATAATATACAGTTGCAAATCCACCTTTTCCTATCACTCGTATATTTTTAAATTCGTTATAAGGAATCCATGACAGTTGATATTTTTCATTGTCTAATAATTTTTTTAATTTATCATCAAAGTTTTCATATGATAGCTTACCTATCCTTTTCACACCTCTTTCTATTCGATACCAATGATTTGCTCGTTGTATATCTCTCGATATACCGATTCCATTTCGATAACAGTCACCGAAGTCTAAAATTCCTCCAATATGACCCATATCTGCAGACTTTTTAAAATACTCAAATGCTTTCTTTTCATCCTTTTCGATTCCTTTTCCAAGCAAATAGCAAAGACCAATTTGTTATGTTCCCTTAACATGCCCCATCTCTGCTGATTTTTGATGATAAACGAATGCCTTATTTTCATCTTTTTTG